CGGATTTTTTTTTTTTTTAAAAAAAAAAAAAAAAACTGAAAAGGTACAGAGAAGCAGAGCGAAAATCGTAACAAAATAATAAATCCCAGAAAAAAATAGAACATAGAAGAAAGAAAACTCAAATGAAACCGATCCTGCCCAAGATTCAAACGAGAGACGAACGAAGAGGAGGTACTTACGTTATCACCTGCATCACCGAAGCTGCCAAAGTTGGGAACATTGCCTTGAGCCTGGTATGACGACGGCGGTGGCCGGCCACCGCTCGAGGCGGGCTGAGGAATAGGCGACGGCGACGTCTGAGGCGACGTGACACGGGGATTCGCACCTGGGTTGACACCCAAACCGGACTGGGGCTGGTTGGCCGGCACGGCTGGGTTACCCATATTGGGTGAGGTCGGCTGGTTGGCAGCAAAGCCAAACTGCAAGCTATTGGGACGACTGTTGGGACCCCCGTTGGGGATGTAGCCTGAGGTACCGGCGGAGGTGATGGTCACGGAGGGCTTGCGAGAATGATCGCCTTGCGCGGAGGAAGGAGCCGGGGCGCCATTGACGATGGTGACGCCGGGGGTCTGAGATTGCTGCATGGGTTTGCCGCTCACAGGAGATACTGAGGTCGACTTCCCATGTTGCGATGAGCCGCCCACGGTGACGGGAGCGGCGGTCGAGTCCGTCGCGGACTTTTTGGTGGCGCTGGCGTAGGACTTGGTCGCAGCCGGCTGAGAAGAGGGATTCCCAGAGGTTGCAGGAGCGGTAGATTGAGAGGCGGCCTGGTTAGAGGTGCTCTGTCCTTGAGGTTGAAGGCCTGACTTTGGAGGGATCGAGCTCATTAGACAGGTAGGTTAAAATGAGTTGTTAAACAAAAAAGCGCTTTTGGTTGGAGGGGAAGGAAAGAAGAAGGAAGGGAAGGGAAAAAAAAAAAAAGTTTTGAGATAAGCGGGAAGGAGTTTTTGATAGTAAGAAAGTAATGTGGGTGATGTCAAAGCGTGTTACAGTAGAAGGCGAACACACTCCAGATCCCACATCAAATAGATGTCAACTTTATTATCCCACGGAAATTGGATAATAAAATACCAACGACAAGAGGGGGGGATTTTTTTTTTAAAGGTATCGGGAAGAAGAACCACCGACACACAAAAAAAAAAAAGAGAGAGATTCTCTGATGATAAAGAGAATAAAAAAGAAACGTCGTGGATAAACGACGAAGAATCCTGGGGTAAAGCAGGAAAAAAAAGGGAAAAAGAATAATAAAATCCAAAGAGGGGGGAAGAAAAAGAGGAAGTAGGGAAGATTTCGCTGGTTCCTCTTTTTTTTTTTTCTTCCTCTTGTTCTGGTGGTGCTTTTTTTTTTCCACTGCTCAAAGTGGAAACGAGCGAGACGTAAAATAAAAAATCAAAATTCAAAAAATCAAAATCAAAATGAAAATTCCGTACGGATGAAACCAACGATACCAACAATGCAGGCAGTGGATATTTGAACAACACAAAACTGGCGGTATTCCTGATGGACCACTGAACGATCTATTTTATTAAGTGCATTATTTCAAAGAGTCTATGATGTTGAATCCTGTATTGTATTTGATTTTAGTCCACTTCATTATGGTGATTATGATTCTTATTTTATTTCTTTTCTGAGAATAAAGAACGGCAGAAAGGCAACGAGAGGAAGAAGGTCGGAGAGTACTTGGTACCACGTATACCAAAAATACAGACCTGACAATACCCACTCCACTTCAGGGAAAGAGAGAACAAGGAGGAGAGGAACGGAACAAGATCATTAGTTCTACAGAGTCCTTACTACCTAGGCTACTACGACTACGGACATTCCCTCAGACCGAACAATCCATACTGACAGCTTGAGCCCGAACCAGGCTGATTACCCGATCGGGAACAAGTCGGGTTGTGGCGGACCAAAAAAAAAAAGCCAGCGCCAAGCCGTCACTCAATTCACGATTCATTCATCAGTCAATGTTGTTTCCTCTGTTGGTTCGGCCAGTCCATGCGTCCGTAGTCATTTCAGCTGTTGACCTACGACCACCACAGGATTTTCCTCCAGCTGTGATTCATATTTGTGACCATGAATCAGATGCTTCTTTAAATGATTGGCCCAAGCAGCGCATTGGTACCTCTCACGGTCCAACGATCTCTACCAAGTGGAGCCTCATCAGGAAATCATCCAATGTATCCAAGAGGATGTGTGAAGAGTGGTCGACACCTCAGGCGTAAATTGCCACGATCACCCAACCAACCGGACTTAAACCCAGACGGGGTTAGTGTACCAGAATCACTGACTCGTCCGCCGCCTCACTTCACCCATGGATGCCGCCGCCATCTACCAACGCGTACCCTCAACTTCACCGACTTCTTCTCAATAGTCAAAGGAGGCAAACTGCAAAGGCATGATCGGGCGTTGTTATTCTCATGTTTCTGCAAGGATCTGTGGGATCTATGGGCGCGTTGGGCAGCCACCCTGCAGCTTAGTTGATACCGCAGATTGAATATTTATTTATTTATTTATTTATATATAGACTCGGATAGCATGATACAAGAGTCATTCTCATGGCGCAGTACAAGGTTCAGATCTATTTCTCCGTGTAAAGAAACATTAAAGAAACCTTGCTGTACCGATCGAAAGGTCCTTGTTCACAACCTGCTGTCATCTCATGGTTCTAGGTAAAAACATATATTGCCCGTAACCGTCATCGATCTCGCCTGGTCCCGTACTCAGTAGAAACCATTCCCTGTGACCCGCTTCAAACAACCTCCAGGTTTACTATTAAAGCTCATAAAATCACCCATCGCTTTGACACAGAGACACCCTTGGTTGATAAAAATTTTTTTTACCCCCGAAAGTATTTCCATGCCCCGGCCACAGCTCGTGGCGCTAAAACCATACCTCGAGCTGCGCCCTCGACGACAGCGCGTCCGTACCCATTCATGGCAGCGCTCTGAACATGCGCGAAGACCCCCTGTCCAGCAATAGGTGCTATGTGGCTGTGCGCCCATGAAGCCACTGAGCCTATCGTATAATGCGTCAGTAGCGGTTGCTCTCTTGGATGAATTGTAGGTAACTGGGGCAGCAAAAAAAAGGGGACCATACCAGCAGCGGGTCCGGCGCTCGTAAACCCAGCGGCGTGCATAAGAGGCCCAGTGACCATGCCGGGGCAGAAAAAGGTCCCAACTTGCACCGCTCCCCAGAGAACGCTTTTCGGGTTCTCGGAAACATATTGTGCGGTTTGGTTCGGAAGATTGGTCCAGTCTACCTGGGATGCTTGGTCCACCACATAATTGGCGAGTCCTTGGGAGGTGTTGAGGATGGACTCTGTGGAGAGATTGGAGGGTTGGAGATGTGCTACGATTTGCTGCAGTCGTTCCATGATTCTGGAGAGAGAATGCTTGAAGCGCTGCGACTGAAAGGGAGGTTTATGGATGGAGGAACTGACCGGAAGGAGGGTTCTTGTAGGACTTGAGACGCTAAGCCACACCGAAGAGTTAGGCAGAAGAGCAGTGAATACTCAATGAAGAGCAATGTCCCGGGGATTGAGGGGTAGAAGGGACATAATGACAAGGCTGTTGATTTACTCGATGTTTTGCCGGCATACGCGCCCACTCGCTAACGCATACGATGACTGCGGCTAGGCGCATTCATCCCGTAAAAAAATATTTACTCAACCAGTTAAAACTTTCCTTTCTAATTGTTCAGACCATCTATCTTGCATACACACAACCCTTTTTGGGAATTCAGCAAAAAGAAAATCAAAGACCGAAAAGATGAGAAGCGCGAAAGAGTCCGATCCCGCCTAGTGAGAACCGCGGGATCGAGCCAATTCTTCCGCGGCTCGCGCCGCAAAGTCGACACCAGAGGTCCAGTTGCTGCCGGTGGACCGCTCACGGATATCCTCAGGTTCGATATGATCAAACGAGTTGTCGCTACGGTTCTTCCTCAAGGACGAGCCGGACGCGTCATCACCACGGCCGTGCAGGTTTTGCTGTTCCTTCGCCAATGCATTGCGCAGCACCTCCAACATATCCTGCTGGCTCGAGAGGTATTTGGCCTTCTCATCATGGGACATGCCGGCCATATCACGGGGCAAGAAGGAGCCGCTGGCAGAGAGTTCCTCCGCCCGTGCCTCCGGAGTCTTACCGGTGGAGGTCATAGAGGCCACGGCCGAGCCAATGGCCGAAAGCCAGTCGTTACCCTGGGCAGGGGCGTTGGCATTTCCTCCGGCAGCCGTCGGGACGTTGAACCGAGAGAGAAGCGACTGTGCGTATGCAGCAGGGCCTGTCGCCGGAGGTGGAGTGGCAGCCTGTTGGGCGGGCAGGTGGAAAACATTCTCGCGTACCCAGTCCAGCGCCTGGTAAAAGTATTGGAGGCCCAGAGCCTTGGCACGCTCATGCGAGCGACCGATGAACTCTTCAATTTCTCGTTCGTGCTGGGCCAGGAACGGGTCCACATGGGTCTGGTAGAGGATTTGGGCACCCTGAGTCTGTGGCAGGACCAGGTAGGAAAAGAAGAAGAGACGGATCCAGCTATAGAATGGAAGCCTGTATAGGTTGTCTATTAGATACTCGTATCGTGGTGATTTCTGGTCGAGGTAACATACCATCCCAAAATCCACACCGTCCAGGACTCAGCCATCAAGATGGCCGACAGGACCACCCAATACATTAACCATGGTGCGAGCTGAGAGGGGTTCCCCGAGCGGAGGGCTTTGAAAGAAGCGAAGATAGGGAAGAGGATCGTAATGATCGAGCTACGCATGAATCCCCGTTAGCATTCCAGGAACGGGCAGAAAATTATTGAGAGATAGAGCCACAATTCCCGGGATTCCCGGAAACAGGAGTCATAGTACTTACGACAGCAAATCGGCGATAATTCCAAACATGATGGAAGAGGGAGAATAATTCACTGGTTTAGAGACGTCTCAAACGTGGCCGACGTGAATGAGTCGGTAAGGGTTGATAGAATCTTTGGCGGTCAGTGAAGCCTTTGCGTTTGCGGGGCAGAGAAATGTTGATCAGCGAGACTTCACGCGACCAGCTGAGGACGGAATAAGAAGCGGCCAGCCGCAATGGCAACGAGAGAAAGAGAGGAGAGGAGGTATCTGATTTTGAAGGAAGGGTGGTTAGGGGAGAGAAAGAAAAGGCCAACACGACACGACGGTGGTTGCCTTAGGGGAGATCAGCCAGCCCTACTGTGATCCATCCACTATTACTCTTCCAAGTTTAGTAGATGGGAGCTGGAAGAACCATCGACGAGATTAGGGCAACCTTCCCATTTCCGGGATCACGAATCGCAGCGAATCACACTCTGCTTGACGTCATGATTTAAGGTTCGTCAAATGCCTGCAAAAACTTTATCCGGACGATATATAAAGATACTACGTACATACTCATGGCATATCTTGGGGGAGGAAGCGGAAGTGTTTGCTGGTCCAAAGCGACGTGGTTGCTTTGGCTGTTAATCACTGAAACTTGTCCACAGGAAAGTGGTTTTGGTCTTCGATCTCCAGTCTTCTGACTACGCTTCCAGGTCATCCTACTACGTGTCGAATTGCGTGAAACAACGCCAACAAACATTGTCAGTTCATCATCGATTCTAGGGCCCGAAGGTTTATGTAGTACCTTGCAGGTGAGGGAATGTTTCAAATCGTACTTTTTTGCATCCGACACAGCTTCAACGTGCTGAGTCATGCAGCCTGCTAGCCTGATCACGTGAGGAGCTGCTATTTAAGGAAGCCAGTTCCACACTAAGTGGGTCCGATGACGGTGAACCAGACAGGCGGTGAGGTGAATCTGCCGGCAGTGTCTCTGCCCGATGACTTCAGTATCTGTAGTATGAAAGCTCTTGTGTCTTTCCCTCACAACTTCTACGAATTTGGAACTTGGATGCCTGTATATCTTTGATGACCTTTCCTTGATACCATTAATCGAACATATCAATATCCGAACATATTTGCGAGCAAGAGACTGGTAGCTCATACTCAACCACAGTACCCCCACCTCTAAGCACCAGTACACCCTTGTCTCAAACATACCACGATAGAGACTTGAAGTTCCCGAGCCGCTACGATGTGTATTGCATTAATATCTACAGCCCATCCGTCTTATTCGCTTATTGTTATCGACAATAGGGATGTATGCGATCGAAGTACCTGCAACGGGAACACCTGATATGCCGTGACCTAACAGTGTCTAGGAATACCTCCGTCGACCAACCGCCCCGGCTGATTGGTGGCCCGAACCACATTCCAATATACTAGGCGGCCGGGACCTGGCACGAGCTACACAAGGAACATGGATGGGCATTACGAAGGAGGGAAAGATTGCCGTTTTAACGAACTATCGTGAAGATACGTCCGAGAAGGCGACCGGCAACCAAAGTCGAGGTGCTATTGTCAACGGCTGGCTTACGGTCGCCCCTGAGCCTAGAGAATCCACTCGAGACTTTGCGCAGAGGATGGTAGCAAGTGCCACAGCGAAAAACGTCGGAGGGTTTAGTCTGGTGTGCGGCTATGTTAATGAGCCACTGGCTGTGATCTCCAACCGCTCATCTAATATAGATCAGGTCACCTGGCTGGCGACAGAAAAGGGCCAAACGGTGGGACTAAGCAACACACATTTTGATGACCGCTCCTGGCCAAAGATCATCGATGGCGAGAAGCTGATGATTGAAGCTATCCAAGCACACGTTGGGGCTGGCGAGGATGAAGATGGACTTATTGAAAGACTACTTGGGTTATTGAGCAGGAATACGCTCCCTAACCTTTCCGACGGCGCAACTGCAGAAGACTATCTCCCGTACTTTAGGAAGAGTATTTTCATCCCCAAGCTTGGGGCTAAAGAGGTACCGGCGAGGCCATCTGATGGAGTAGCCGCGCCTTGTGCTGAGGAGAAAGCGACTGGTGCCAAACAGGGCGATGAGCTGGACCAGTCATATTTGCATGGTACGTACGGTACCCAGAAGCAAACCGTTATCCTTGTAAGTAAAGATGGACGGGTGAGGTACTTTGAACGCACTCTTTATGATAATGAGGTGAACGCTATTCCGCTTGGCAACGGAGACCGATCATACGAGTTCCAAGTAACCCAATAATGAGATCAACGGCCTATCTTGGCTGTCCTGCTCTTTCTCGGTCGTGATGATTGTTTCTTGTATATAGCCAAATTGACATGATGCCCACTTTTACTCTGATTTGCAGTCGGGCATCTCATCCCTTTTTCACGCTAGCCATTTTACCGTGGAGTTGTCATTGCAGCCGTACTAGTAATACTACCAATAGTGGCCATAGGAGGAGTGTTGTCAATATTAAGCACTACTATTACTATCCACCCAAATGCAAGGGGAGTCCCCCGTTGCACGTGGTTTGCCTTGACTCATGCCAGATCAGGTGCATGTCCAGTCACGCAACATTCGGCGACTTTAAATCAATCCCGATTCTTTTAAAATGATCCCATAGTCTTGGCTCGAAAAGACCTCTCGCCACATGTCGCAGAGTGTCATTTGATCTTAATTCTGCTCATTTCCTTTCCTCTCACGCATAAAAATGGACGTACAAGGTACGATTCGACCGGCTCACGGTATGGACCTAGAACGAGCCCATAGAGGCGGAAAATCTTTTTTTATTTGGTACCCACGCAGTGCTCGAACCGAGTTCAACAGCTAGCTACGATTAGTTTCAAACCTATCACAGTGGCCCTGGGAGCTAATGTCTCATAGTAGTCCCTCCTCAATCGATTGTACCAGCGCCCGATCATCCTTCCATGGTTTATACTGTTTCAGTTTCATCGAACAAGCTTTGCTAAGATTTCAACTAATCCCTGGTGTCGCCCACTATTCCAACGTTGGCCGTTTAAGGAACTTGCCGAGCACCCACAACGGATTTTGTCGAGGTTCCTCCACCAATCTGCGGAGGTTCTTCGTGTTTCATCTTGATAACATGTTTTGCTCACTATACGCCCGGCCCCACGAAAGCTGGATCTGTAATTTGCCGCAATTTTGCCATGAGAGCGAATAATCGGATTTCTGCCCGGCTGTATCCATTCGAATTGTTTGCTTAGCCCGGCTTACGGATGGTTAGGCGTGCCCTAAGCAATCGACTATTGGCGCAGGAGCTTGATTCATTTCCGCCGGTCCCACAAGTCCGTGCTTCATAGATGACCGGAGATAGCACCACGATTTCTCGAAACCATTTACTAGCACCATCGGGACTCTCTTAATGGTTCCCGACATGCTGTTCCTGTCATTAAACCCCTGAATTAGATTAACATCGCCGACTACCAGCTAGTCTGAGCGCCTCTTCATATCGAGCAGGCAACAATTTGATCGGCCCACGGGGGTGCTCGGGAATGTGTGCCATCTTTGGAAATGTGTACACTAAGGAAACGGATTCTGGATCAGCCCACAGATTAGCTGTCTCAGAATCCTAGTAGAACTTCTACGGTAGAATTGCCGGATGAGATTAATGTGGAGACCTACGGAATCACCGGACATTTCTCAGTCCAAGACCGAACGAATATAAAGGTGTATGACTTGCGACGTTTTCCAGTGATGCTCTAACACTCCAAGCTCAAGACTGGTTCTTGTCATCCATTCATTCATTCTGCCCTTCCTTTCTTTACTCTTTTTGTCACTCCTTTCTTCTCCGACTAGCTCGGCATACATTCATTCACAATGAGAATCAGCAACTTGATCGTGGCTGCAAGTGCTGCAAGCCTGGTGCATGCGTATCCCACGCGTGATATCAAAAAGCGCAGCTCAGGATTTACCTGTACGTTGGAAAGTAGGCTTCGAAGTTACTGGATCTAACGAATGAACTTAGGGGTCGGCGTTAGCGAATCTGGCGCTGAGTTCGGATCCAGCATCCCAGGAACTCTGGGCACTGACTACACTTGGCCTGATACGTCTAAGATTCAGACTCTGAGGAATGATGGAATGAACGTCTTCCGTATCCCCTTCCTCATGGAGCGTTTGGCGCCCAACGAGATCACTGGATCCCTGGACGCCACCTATTTGAAGGACCTGAAATCTGTACGTCCACACCCGACGGATGGTCATACGATATTTACTAACGCCTTTGTAGACTGTGCAGGCCATCACTGACAGCGGTGCTTACGCCGTTCTCGACCCCCACAACTACGGAAGATAGTAAGAACATTCATCGTTTATGTGTTGAGAGACTATGTGAAGCTAAACAGTTACATAGCTCTGGAAGTATCATCTCTTCTACTTCTGACTTTAAAACTTTCTGGAAGACCGTCGCTGGAGAATTTGCATCTAACGAGAAGGTGATCTTCGATACTAGTAAGACAAGGACACCGACTGCTCCCAAGGGATTTGAATCCTAACATATGCAGACAACGAGTACCACGACATGGAACAGTCTCTCGTCCTCAGCCTGAACCAGGCCGCCATTGACGGTATTCGCGCGGCTGGAGCCACGACACAATACATTTTTGTTGAGGGCAACTCGTACTCGGGTGCTTGGAAGTGGGCCGATACCAACGACAACCTCAGTCAATTGACTGACCCGCAGGACAAGATTGTTTACGAGATGCACCAGTATCTCGATTCGGACGGCTCTGGTACCTCCGAGACCTGTGCCAGCTCGACCATCGGCAAGGAGAGACTGCAGACCGCCACACAGTGGTTGAAGACCAACAACAAGAAGGGTTTCCTGGGTGAATTCGCCGGCGGTGTCAATGAGCAGTGTGAGCAGGCTGTCGAGGGTCTCCTCTCTTACATGTCGGACAACTCCGACGTCTGGATGGGTGCCGAATGGTGGTCGGCTGGCCCCTGGTGGGGCTCCTACATGTACAGCATGGAGCCGACTGACGGAACTGCTTACTCCACATATCTGCCCATCTTGAAGAAATACTTCGTGGATGGCACGGGCGCTAGCTCCTCGGCCACATCTGCAGTCCCATCGACTGTAGCTGCCAGCACCTCTACCTCTGCCAGTGTCTCGACTGCCTCTGCATCATCGACCACCGTCAGTGTTGTTGAATCCTCCTCCACTAGCAGCGTTGCTGAAGCCCCTTCAACCACCTCGGAAGTTGCCACTGCCACTGCCACGCCCACGCCATCTCACCCAGCCCCTCAGCCAACCTCCAACTCGTCCAGCACTTCTTCTAGTGTGCCCACAAGCAGCGCCCCGACGACTCTTTCGACCTCCCAGGCCTGTGGATACCGTACTACCGTCACTGTGACCGCCAGCAGATCTACCGCAGCACCCAGCAGCTCCGCGAGCGCCGTCCCCCACTACCACCGGTGCGGCGGAATCAACTACAGTGGACCTACCACCTGCGAGAGCGGCTATACTTGCGTCAAGCAGAACCCCTACTACAGCCAGTGCCTTTAAAAGGACACCCAAGGACGGTGATGTGGCAAGTTGATGGAACCGATCAAATTCCTCACTTCATTTGTACATATTACCAGCTTCAATCTTGAGTAGAGCTCATCATACAATACTCCCAGCCAACCGATAGAAGATCATCAATCCAATCCATTCTGCAATAGAACCATAGAACCGGACAAAGGATTAGCGTAAACATTTCTCCAAAGCCCCAAGAACGTCCATTCCAGGATGGATCCAGATCTACCCAGACCTCACCCATATAAAACTTACTCTCAACCGAACGAACATTGTTCGAGCAACAAAAACCAAACACAAATCATTGATCGACCAGAGACCCCGCCACAATATGAAGACGAAAGCCCCTCGACTGACATCCACCAAGAGTTCCCAATGTTAGTCGCCATACTAGGTGACACCTAGTCCCGGAACCTCATCTCAGAGTTTTACTCCGAGGAGAATTCGGCATCCATAGTAGCTTAGGTCTAGTTGTAATGCTAACATCAACTGCGTGGGACACGCACCAAACAAGATCCCGTCTGGCCCTGGACGCGTTCCGAAACATCCTGGTGTATATACCAGCAAGGATCTCAGATAATTGAGAGTATCACCTCGCACCTGCACAATCCCAAAGAAATTATTAAAATCTGTTGGTGAATAACTGAAGCTTTTTCTTTATTAGTTCTGCCCCGTTTCTCTGTACCAAATACAGATACTGCCACTTTTACAACGACGGTATATGAATGCTCCGAGAATACTCTATAAGTGCTCTGGTTTATGCACTAACTGGATATAAAGTGTGTGATTGCAAGTAGCAATAGGAGGTTAATCTAGGTAGAGAGTTGCCAATTTTCCATAGATATAGAATATTGCTATACTTTGGGTATGGATATGTCTAGTAAGGGATGTAGCCCTGGCTTAAGTTCTCTAATAAATCGATGATATTTGTCCCAATCGGCGAATATGTTAGTCACTAAAGACCGCCCTCGACATGCATGGGCTCCATCGAAAGAAGGTCTGTGAAATAGTGATTGAGAGGCGCCGGAAAATCTCCTAATTCCGCAATCTCAATGCTAGTCATAAAGTCCGAGTCCGCAGCTCCTATATACCCGCCTGGTGGAGGAGACACGACGCTCTTATTCATGTCATGGTGCACAACCTGTCCATGCTCAGTTGTATGAGGTGGTAGCGTTAAAGACGAGCGGACAAGCCGTTCGAGAAACTCAAAGTATCGGACAGCCATGGGCGTATCGTGCGGCGAGCATTCTCGGATGGCATCGATGGCTGCTTCAAGAAGCTGGGCGTTGGGATGTGAGCTGGACACAAGTTTGTCTTTCGGAATTGTAGCCTGTGTTAAATTTTAGGTTAGATGAAAGAGAGCAGATGGAATCGTCGTGTTGAACAACTAACCCTCAGCAAGGGTAGGCTCGCTGCTACTATGAAATGCCAGCAGCGGACCGGTAGATACGGTAGTAGCCCTGCAGGATGCAATATGCCTACTGCTATTGATAGTAAATCATAGCTCGCTTGTGTTGCTTGTTGCGTAGAGTGACACAGGGTTGTTGGTGCGGTGCGGTCGTTGGGTGATTGGTGTCGAAGGAATAAGAGGCACCATGGCGGTACGTAGGGCTTGGTCCTGAGAGACATATAGCACCAAATTCCTAACAAGGTTCTTACAGAACACACGCGCGGGGGCTTATCCCGACGTCTCCAAAACGGCCGTCATTTATTCCGCGGGATCTTCGAGCAATATTAGAGACATGTACCCAGGCTACACTGGTCCTTATCCGAAGATACAGCTCTATTTGGGATCTGAAGATACAGTCATCGGGTCAGATTCGTTTAAGGAGTCTCTCGCGGCGTGGGCTTCAGTGATTGGCTACGATACAATGCCTGATCAAGTGCTAGCTGATACCCCTGTTAGTGGCTGGACGAAGTATGTTTTAGGCAGCCAGCTACAGGGTATATGGGCCGAGGGCGTTGGGCATCCTGTTCCCACTCAAGGTAATGAAGATATGATATGGTGGGGCTTTGCGAGTTGATTAAATCGGTGTGGGTTCCATGGATCTGCTGGGACCTTTCCTGCGAAAGGAGTGATTTCTCGTAGATCCGTACGTTGTGTCTATCTGCCAATTTTCCCCAGTCTACCTAGGATATTCGAACAATGCAGGTATTTGAAAGAAATGGAAGGAGGGGTAAAAGCGAAAACTCACGTCTCTCCCATCTCACCATCTATAGATATATCGAAGTAGGGTGGTATGTCTGTTATGCTGTGGCCGAGAATTGTACAGAATTCAATCAACCCTCCAGTTTCAGCATGAGCGTCCTAAGTACCGTAAGAGAAAGCATTCTACTAGAAAGGTAACTATTACAGAGGACCTTATTTATTCAGGAAGGTCTCAAGCGGTTCCGGCGTGAGGACGAGTCCATAAAGCGCAAGATACTATTTTATAGACTTCAGTGTCATCTGCAGTGGGATTGCGCGTACGAGCACCACCACGTTGTAGCGGTTGCCATATTATAATGCAGAGGCGGTTACAATACCATAATCGAAGTTCTAATTGATTTATATATATATAAATTCAATTACTGTTATAACTGACGGTGGGTGAACCCCGTGCCTCGCAAGAAGTTACGCATTAGGAATAGTGGCAATATCCTGGCTAGGTAGGAGTGGGGATGATCCATCACAGCTGAGCCCTATTCTTGAGTATTCCCCATACTTTTACGACAACGATGGGGCCTAATCAGCAATCAAATGTGGGGATCTACTTGCTCGAAGTATTTTATTTGTCACGATGGTAGTTATGTGAGATGTGACGTTGGTAACTGGCTGAGGTGACATCCGAGCAGCTGTCGGCTCATGGAGTGACGAAAGTCTATATAGGATTACAGACCATCATTGATTAGAAGACATTTTATCTTCTTGAGCCTTGGGGTATGGAACCGAGGGCTAAAAAAAATGAGAAAACCGAGGTGTATAGGTCTGAATAATCACGCTGGAGAGTCCCTTGCTCCCCCCGCATCGAGTGATATAAAGCAAGACAGTTCCAAGTCGTATCTCTCATTAACTATCTTTATCTCGGTATTGTGACCTCAGAATGTCCCCGATTCAAGTTCCAAAGTCAAGCACCCACACCATGGGGCAAGATATCCAAGTTCCCAAGGGATGGAACAATGGCGTTGGACTTGTGTACAAGCGAACTGTTCAAGTGATGGTGATTGTGATGGTTATTTTCTTTGCACCTTTGTCGTTCACGTACTTCTTTGACGAGACACATACATCCAACCTGAGCGATCAAGTTCTCGCCGTCCTAGTATCCCCGGAATTTGCGTACGGGGAGGGCTCGGCCACTTTGTCCGATGTTAACGGGGGGCAGATGGTAGTGTATTTGCGCAACTTGACAGCCATGTTCTCTCACACAATTGCTGGTTCTATCGCCATCGTTATTGGTCTAGTCCAATTCAACACGACCCTGCAGTTCAAATACCCAGTGATCCATCGATATCTCGGGAGATTATATTTCCTATGCGCCATGATCATCACTTGGTCTTCGAGGTCTTTTTTAGCTGATGCTATACCAAAAAAGGAAGTTTTCTCGGGGGACCCCTTTGCATATATCCTGTCGGTGCTCTCAATCAGTGTCCCATTGACCATGGCCTGTGCCATCTATGCCATTTGGAACCGCGACATTAACTCTCACCGAGAATTCATGGTCCTTAACTATGCATCTATGCTATCGGCACCACTCCTAAGAGTGCAATGGATAACCCTGGGTCGACTCTGGGGCGAAACCAAATACATCATCAACCTGTATTCTGCTATATTCAGCGGACCATTCTTAGTCGCAGCCTCCATATTCTACCTTCGCCAACGACATGTCCGCCCCTCGAGTCCGCTTCTCATCAGCCCTAATACCCGCCTAATAGCAACAGCGAGCGGCCTACTCGGCCTTCTCTTTCTGGCCACCAAGGGCCCAAGTTTCAACGGAGGACCTCGTCCAAAAGCATTTTGGTTAGCACTAGGCCCACAAGTGATCTGTTATTTGGCCTTATTCACTGCGTTTGCGCGTGCTGCAAAACGTCGCGGAGATATGCGGTCCTATACAGCTTGGATAACTTACCAGAATGGGCTGATTAGCGCTCCGATGTGGAGTGTGCTTGTCCTGTATATGGCTCGGGATCGTATGGGCTATTCGGAGGAAAGTTTGGGCGTGATTACTGTTGCTGGAGGGGTTAGTCAGGGCTTATTTGTCTCGTTCATGGTTTATGTCTTTGCAACTTCAACTTTGGGTAACTCGTCTCGTCGTGCTGTCAAGAGTCGTTGAGGTTGTTATTTTGCTATGGATTAAGTTTGTCTGTCATACCCTATAACCTAGCATGCAATGATATCGGACTCGGTCATTTAGGATTTAAAAATAAAGAAGGGCCAAATACGGATGGATTAGAACCTGTCGAACTGATTAAATTATGTCCGGAAAACCCTGCCCTAACTCGGTGGTGGTCAAACTCCGCAACAAATTACTCAGGACCCCCTTACCAGTTCCATGAACCAATTTCTTCTGTTAGATTATTACACAATCTCTTATTTATTTCTCGAATTCATCATATAGATTGACTAGATAACTCCGATTGACTAAGAACTAGATGGATACTTGTAGAGGGTGGATCTGTTCTACTTTTCTTCTTCCTTCTTTGTGTCCATACTGTGAACCCCTACTAGGAATACACCTTCAATGAGATGATAATATATAGTCTAGCATGATTTGTTGGAGCCTAGCTAGGAGGCGTGACGGATATGGCGCAGAAGCAATTGATCTGATTGACCGGAGGTGATTTTTTTATCTTAAGTCTTAGTAAACAGCGACTTGCGGACGTTTTGAGTTTTGACATAGTAGTCAAGTTGTCTGGGAAGCTCCTCTCAGATCTCCAGACCCTTTGCGAAATGGTAGTTTCTGCGTGATATATTAATACTAATCCTTTTCATTTTATTTTTTTCCTCTTGCCATTTTACTGTCATATTTTCATATAGTAGGGCTCCCTTGCGGCTGCGCTTGGTACTATTTGGGGTTTGTAGATAGGACCAGTTTTAGTTCGGGGTGAAGCATATCATATTATATTCTCAGAGAAGAAACAAAATCATTAGGCCATGTCATGAATATGCAATCTGTCAGAGATACTGCCAAGCCCACCCAAAAGGCATCCCCTAAGCCCCCTCCCTCAACCTAACAATCACATTCTCCCACGGCGCACTAGTCAGCGTAGCATTAAACCGAATATCCCTCTCCGGCCTCGCATCCACAATCCGATCAAACCTCTGCAAAAGTCGAACAAGCACATACCCAGCCTCGGTAAGTGCGAATTGCTGCCCGATGCAGATTCTCGGACCCCCGTTGAACGGCAAATACTCCCACCCGACCTTGAGATTCTCCCAGCGGTCCGGATTGAACACCTCCGCGTCCGCGCCCCAGATATCCTTCCGTCGGTGCGTGACAAACACGCTGTACACGACGGGCTGGCCCTTGCGGACATACACGGGTTCAGAGCCGTCCGGGCCTCCCCCACAGGGGAGGGTGGTATCCTTTACCGCGACGCGACGGTTCCCCGGAACGATGGGGTAGAGACGGAGGACTTCATTCATGAAGTAGTGGAGATAACGACAGGATTTGAGCGAAGCGAAGGTGATGTTCCTTGGATTTTCATAGTCACCGAAGTCGGCTAGGATCGTATTGCGGAGCTTCTGGAAGATATCCGGATAGCGGGCGAGGAGAAGCACACACCAGCTCAGCAGCGAAGCGGTAGTATCTCTCCCCGCGAGGAGGATGTTGAGGAGTTGGGAGCGGAGTTCGACGGGGTCTTGTGTTACGGTAGTGAGACCGTGGAGGAAAACATAGTGGTCCGAGTTGCTCTTTTCGGGGTTGGTTTTGCCTTCTTTTACAGCGGCTAATGCAGCGTCGACAAAACGGTCGACGTAGGCGTGCACAAACCGGTCGGTTTCGCGACTTTCTTTGTTGTTGACTATCCAGTGGAGCTTTTCGAAGCGCGCGCGCTGCGAGGCGTACCATTGGCCGCGGTCGAAGTAAGAGGGGAATTTGTCTTCGATGATTCTACCACCGCTTAATGCGGCAGTTTGGCTTTCGACGCTTTCGCCGAAGAGGAATTCCGTGGCAGAATCGATGGTTAGTCGGAAGAAGATGGTTTGGATATCGATTTCGGAAGTCCATTTGGTGGAAGGGTCAGCGGGTATGCCGGCCATGGCCTTTTGGACGTGGCGTTCTTCGAGATCGAGGTCGCTGACTTGGTCGCGGGTGAACTGTGGACGGAGAAGAGTCCGCGATCGCGACCAGGATTCGCCGTCGGTTGAGAACTGGATTGAGATTGGCGGCGTTAGTAACCATCGCTGCATGTTTGACATAGACCTATGCTGTGTGTGGGGGCATAGGGTGAAAAGGGACTCACAATGCCGGAGCCCAACAGCGGGCACAGGGCATGTCTTCTGACATCACCGAGCTCGAATTCCTTGAACTGTGTAGCTAAAATAGCCTGCATGTTCTTCGGGTCAGACGTAAAGACGCTCTCCCTTCCCATCTGGCGGAGGCGGAAGGTCGACACGTATCGTCCTTCACGGGCTGTCATCGTTTCGACGCGCCGTGCGGATAAAACGGGGATGAGTTTCTCCTTGTCAGCACGCAGAACTTCCTTCAACGTGTTGATGCCGAGTACATCACCCGGATAGGTGGGGATAGTACCGCAGTGCCACTTGCGAGCATTCTGCGCATGACGAAGACTCGTAAAGATTGACCAAAGGAGGCGGAAGACGACCGCGAGGGCCGCAAGAATGAGAAGGGGAATCATGGTGACCTTTCTCGTTCCCGGTGGGCGGTTGATGCGGTGCAACAAGGAGGACAAAGGCTGGATGTACCGCAATATTTAGCCCTCCAGATCGGTAAATTCTACCTCGGGCGAGGACATTATCACCGAGGGTATAGGTCAAGAAGTGGAGAAGCATTCTGGTCTAGTGGTGCAGAGGAGGACGAGTGATATGGCTGAAATGAATTAATCCCCGTTTAGTGCATACCCTATATAGGTGGCTTCATATTAATGCCGCAGCCATTGGCTTAAGCCAGCCGGGCCACTTTCCCACTAAGTCATCATGACACTTTAACCCCCTACGGGAATGACGAAACGCCGATCCCTCTTGGCTTGGTCATGATTGACGGGGTATATCTTGGTCGGTGTCGTCTAAGAGCATTGACATTCAGACTCCGACTGGCCTGTCGGAGATACCGGTATTTTGTTTCGGAGGGGGCGATCGGAGTCCGGAGAGGCCGAGTCACTAGGACATACGCTCAGATCATCATAGGTGTATCGGGCGGCATGCATGTGAGGGAATGACGGCGAAGGTGGCGGCTACAAGAGTTGAATCTTCAGGGGATCCTGTGATGGATGTCTCAGGGACATTGATCACTTGGATGTTGGCTGTTGGATGTCATGTCAGATACTATGTCCTCAGGCATTAAGGCTGCTACTTTTAATGATCCTCCACGTCCTTGGCAATTCATGTGGTGCTGACATATAAGTTTTCCCGCTCCGTTTGTTTCTCCGGGCGTTGTTATCCCACGTGATGTGGCTCAACGCCAGTATGCAAGATGACGGCTGAAATACGAACGATGACACCAAGACGTTTACGGAAAATAGTACTTGAGTCTGGGTGCTATCATAGCAGTGCCAAGTCCTGATACTCGAACGTGGGCGGATAGTTATTTATGGAGACATGACCTATCACGTCCATTGATGGGTACACGTTGCGAACACCAGTTCAACTTTAGTGCATTATGCGGCCGCAGGCCATTTCACGTCGCATCTAATCCATAGCTAGCATTAACATTTAACATAGCGAGTCTAGAACTCTGGGTATCTTTAACATTGACACGAGAGTCGGTCGCGTAGACATCATGGCGGCCCGCAAGGTGATGTCCGAGATGGGGTCCGTGCGACACTTTAACAGCAGATCTCACAGCACTCGAAACAAGCCAGACCGGCGCAACTATACACGACTCATTAGCTGTGTCCATTACACTCATTTGGGAAGCATCACGGTCTCATTGGGTGGGGGGAGTAAGGGGAACTTACATTCCGCAGCAGATGCCACCGCCATTTCCACCACCACGGAGGTTCATGTTCATCTGCTCCTGGCTGGCCTGTTGGATTATTAGCTCTATGGTACGAGGGTATTCATCAAAAGAAATCACCATAGCAGAGAAACGTGGATAATTATGGGAATGGGAGGGTGTGGAGGGTGTCACGTACAGGCTGCTCAGTAACGACCTGCTGCTGGTTGGGGGCCGCAGGGCTAGAAGGCTGCTCCATGGTGAGGGTGTTGGGATTCCAGGTAGGCTGCTGGGAGGTCTCCTCCTCCTTGGAAGACTTGAACAAAGAGAATCCGAACATTTTGATGTGAGGATGTGGTGTTGGGGAAGTGTGAGTGAGTGTGTGTTGAGGAAGATTGAATGTTGGAAAGAAGATGAGAAAAAAAAATCAGTTAAAGAATTTAACCAACGAAAGGGACTGAGGGACGAATAAATAATCCTGGTGCCTGATGATCACGGCACATGATCGGCGAATCCCAAATTTGTGTTAGCTGAGAGAATTCGAAGGAATGGACGAGGGCTGACGCCGTGATTACGGGCCGTTTCAGGTAGTCTCAGTCTCTCGTTGGACTCCTCACGTACCTCCCATGGGGAGAATACGCTAAGAGACCTGGTTTGACAGGGTTTCTGAGCGAATTACCAGCGTAGCTGGAAGTTGTTGACAGCTTGTTGACGCTGAGCTGCTGCCGGCGTAACAACCGGAGGGATCCACTTCTGTCCCGCTCAGCCTTGTCTTAGGGCAGTTGGCCAAGCCTCCTTGGCACTTGCTTGACAGTGCTCAGCCTTCCCACCAAATATAGCAGCATCTCTTTATATTCTATTCTTGTCACTCATGACGTGTATCGTGAATCTATCTCGAATCTAGGCTACACTTTACGCCTCACCAGTCCGCGGAGGAAGTCGAAGCTATTACTATCACTTTGCAATTGCCATATCCGCCCGGTCGGCCGATCGTCCCAGCCCAATTCCTCGGCGAGCAATAACCCATAGTCTCGGGTGATACCCTTGATCCGGGCCCTGGCGCCACCTTCTTCTTCCAAAGTAACAACTTGATGCATATGCAACCAGTCGCTGTAATACATCTCCTCGAATGTCTTATCGAAACCCGTCCGGAGGAAGCGCGTGTGCAGCTCTTCGAACGTGGTTAAGAATCGCGCCAGGAGCTTTTCGAGGGTAATAGGCGCCGTTTTATTACCGAGGAAGTGTGCGGCCAGCGCGTTCAAAGAGGTAGTCGGCGACGCGTTGGTGGCGTTGACGCCGATGCCGACCACTGACGTGTATTCGCCCGATGAGTAGTGCGAGTTTACCAGGATACCACAGATTTTGGTGTAGCGTTTCTTATCCGCGTTCTCGGGATCCAGGGCATCTGTTCAGTCAGTATAGAAACGGGTATCCGGGGGTTTTCTACAACTCACAGATGTCATTCGGCCATTTCATTTTGACGGGCATCTCCTCGAAGCCCTTATCGTAGCTCTTGATACCTTGCACCACCGCCATGGCGGCTAGGTACTGGATGAAGACAACCGGCGCAGACTGCATCTTCTCCATTGGGTGGCGGACCACCGTTGAGAACATGAGGGCACCCGCGGGCGACACCCAGACGTTGGAGCCTCGGCCTCGTCCTGCGACCTGCGTAGTAGCGGTGGCCGTGAACCCGTTCGGCAAGTTGCGAAGAAGCTTCGGATTTCTGTCCGAGTTAGAAACGGCCAGCATACCTTGGCCGGTAGGACTTACTTTTCTAGGATGGTGTTGGTGCTCGTGACAACCTCTCCATAGACAATGCTGGAGCCAAACTCTGACGCACCCTCCTTCATTTGCGATTGGTATTGCCGGAGATTGGAATAGAACGCATGGTGGTTAAAATAGGGGGTCATCTTCGACGATGGTACGTCTTCATGGATCACAAGGTGCTTTACAATAGCATTGTAATCGACGATGCCCTCTTCAGCCTTACCCGAGTCCTCTTTCGAATCGTCTGGAAGGGCCTCTTGTAGCGATTCCATATTCCAAGCCTCGGGCTTCTCGATGCGGAATGTGTCATTCTCATCCTTGAGGTACTGGTGCTCTCCATCGGTAGTGATGAGTTCTTGCAATGACGAAAGAATCGAAGCAGTATCAGCTGGGTCTAGGGAAGAGATATGCAGCGAAGAAAGTGACGGCACGGTCGTCGTATTCTGCGTGACTTGCAGTCCCAACTTCGTCAAACAGGCCTTCAGGAAGTCCGTCCGTGCCCTGTCATCCGCAGCTAAGGCGTCTACCAATTTTCCGTATTCCGGACCGCCGGCACTTTTGTCAAGGTTCACAGCAGCGAATCTAGACACATTAGTCTTTGTTCAAATCATCTCGCCAGGATACATACTCCGGATGTGGCCCCGTCAGAACCGCCGCCCCCTCACCTACTTTACAGTAGACAACAGCCGCCGCCCCCGATCCCGAGTCGACATTGAGCTCCTCTGTATAGCTGGCCAGCACCTCGACACCCTTATCCGCATACGAGGATGCATCCACAAAGACGCCGCCCCCATTGTAATACGACCGGAAGCTCTCCGGCACAATGCCCACAGTCAAGGCCTCCTTGGACACCTTCAGCTCCGTCGCCCGCGCACCGGCCTCACTATGATAAACAAAACCAGGGAATGCACATCCTCGACAGATACCCGGGAAGAAAGCCAGCTCGCGATCGCCGATCACCTCGTAGGTCTTATCGCCGACCTCGAACTCGCACCGTTTGCAGCCGTAGTAACCCCCCGCACAGAAACCCAAGTAGGCGCCACCTCGGCGGACGAACTGTTCGATTCGGCGGTTCCCCGGTCCATTCAGGGCTCGACAATATCCTAGATCGGCTCCACCGGGGATCACGAGTAGGGCGCAGGTGAGGGTCCATGGCTCCTTGACGAGCATGTCGGCTGTCACGGGGATCACGGCATAGTGGGGGGCGAGCAGGCGGCGGAGAGTATAGAGACAGTGGCGGACGGATTCAACGGTGGTCCCATTGCCTATATAGACAAAAATTAATTAGTCCAACGTGAAATTGATCTGTACAAATTAGGACATACCGGAGTAGACCAGGACGTTGACCTTCTTCCCCGTAGTGTTGGGGCCTGCGGATGTCATTTCGGAGTTCAAGAATTCCCTCCGACAATTCCTCGTCCTGACAAACAACTACCAGCGCCTTATACACCTGCAATAATTTCAATCACAATGTCACCCAAGGAGCAAAACCCGAGAGTGGTGGACGTGGACGACGACGAGCCGGATGAGTGGTAAGAGAGAGAAATGAAGTGATTGCGGAGGAATGAATGACTGTTCGGTGGTGAACTGACGCGGGGAATCCGTTTCTCTTAGGGATAAGCGGATCTTCAGCACGGGCTGCTCAGGTGGGCTGCAAATCTGGACGGTTATCACCGGACGATCGCTGGACTGACCCTGCGTAGTGGAGCAGGATAAAATGAACGACTGTTACTTTGCGAAGAAGGACTGGCGGGCGTGCAAGAAAGAGGTTAGTTGGTTTCCGATACCTTGTATCCCGACATCCAACGCCCATCGCCCAACCCCCAACCCCCAGCACCACTGTAAAAACCGCAATATGGGATGTTCTTGGGGATTGTCACAAATACACATATACCTCAATCCGGATCTCATATTCAAAGGCTCGGCCCAATTGTCAGACTGCTAATTATGTCCCAACCATACATACAGATGGAG